TGTCTCTGGTATATGGTTGTTCATTATTCTTGTTATTTTCTCGCCTGGTCCATTATACTCCTGCTATAAGTGAAACCATCCAGTATTTTTCTTTCTCTTTCTGGCTTATCTCACTAAGCATGATCTTTTCCAACTCCATCCAAGTTGCTGTGAAAGACAGGGTTGCCCGTATCTTTATCAGAAAATAAATCACTGTTTTTGTCAGCCTCACAGCTAAAGCTTCACATTCCTTAACAAAGATAATAGACATTTAGATAAGGTTACCCCTGTAATACAGTGTCCAAATGGAATGTGTGTGTGTGTGTGTGTGTGTGTGTGTGTGTGTAGGCTACATTATTACTATGTTGGGAAGCAAAAATATTCTAGTAATGTTTAGTTAAACCAGCTAAAATCTGGGTAGTTCATGATTTAAGTCTCTTAAGTAAACACTCAGTTGTGTGAATGGAAGTGTCACTATTTGTGATCTGGACTTAACCATTTTCTTGTAGGGAGATGTGTGTTCACTTACACACTGTTCCTTGCCTACCAGCCGCGCCGATTGCTACCCAGTGAAGACTTCCATCCTGAAGTCCCGAGATAATTGAGTGCACTGGAAGACTGGAAGGCAATTGGCAAGGAATAGTGTGTGGGAACACAAGCGGAGGGCCTTTGTATCTGCATACAGAAGGCTCAAGGAGACGTGATTTCTATACAAATTAACTTGTATAACTTGAAAGATGTTCCCACTAATGTCATTATTGTGTTTTTTCATTTCTGAGAGTGACTCAGTTTTCTCTCAACTTTTTTCTGAAGCCATGTACTCTGACATAGATAGTTGGGTTACACAGAAATGGGGCTAATTGTAAATTGTCTACTTGTAAGTTAGTGGATGTTGTTTTTAAGATCCTGCTGTTTTGGCGGTGGGCATTGCCACTCCCAGCTTTTGTGTTTAAACATTGTTCACCTCACCTCACCCCACCCTGGAGATGACAGATGATCAGACATGGTCAGCAGTGAGCCCTGGGAGCTGTTCCAGCCTCGCTGACCATGTACTTGTCTGCTCACTGGCCTGTAGCTGTACCTGGATCCCCTGTTTGGTGCTAGAAGGGACAGAAAATCTTCCATGAACCTTTTGAGAAAATTCATCTGGGTCTTTGACCTATGGGCAATCACGTCTCCTCGAGCCTTCTGTATGCAGATACAAAGGCCCTCCGCTTGTGTTCCCACACACTATTCCTTGCCAATTGCCTTCTTGCCTTCCAGTCCTCTGTACCTCTGGCCTGTACCTCTGGGGTACAGGCCAGAGGTACAGAGGTGGTGAGAGGATTCATTAGAGACAGAGTGGGGATCAGAACAGACAGATCTACTGAAATATACTGCTGAGGGGCAGCGGGTGAGACAGGAGAGGTCTGCTGTGCCATGTGGGTCAGCTCCCTGGCTGGGGATCAAATGCATAGAAATAAATGAAGCTAAATAAACTGAAAAGGTTATAAGATGGATATGTAGTATCATTTGGTGTGGAGGGGACAAGTTGCTGGCATTTTGTAAACATTGACTTTTGCTCTAGAAATACATGTAGGTGAGTCGGAAGTGTTCCTGGTAATATAAGGTATCAGGGGAGTCAAGCCTGTCATTTGTTTAGTGTATTTTAGAAATCATACAATTAAAGCCAACCCATTTGTTGAATTTCCTTTGTGTTATATCTGTTTCTTTAACCTTTCTTTGCAAAGGAAAAGTCTTCTAAATGAGTTGGGCAACTGTTTGTATTACCTCTCAAGGTTTGGATTTCCTCTTTATTTTTGATTTGTGGGCTCTTGGGGAGCAGTGTTCAAATAACCATTTTTGTTCCACATTCTGCATAATTGCTCTTGTTGAATGAATGAAAATCTGTTGAGCTAGGAAGAAAGGCAGATGATGAATTTACCTGGGAACAGATGGCATTATTTAGTAATATCAAGTATTTGGATTAAAAATGGAAAGTACATTTTTGTACTGCATTATCTGCAGTAAGTACCTTAATTAAACTGAAGATTTGGTCTGTCTTTCATTAGTCAGTCAGTCATTATGATTATGATGATTCAGGTATGGTTCCCATCTCTATAAAGCTTGAGTATACAAGAAATAAAGAACTCATTCACGTATCCCAGTGATGTCATCTAAGTCCTTGTGGGCTTTATTCTGGACACTGGGGATAACCTAACAGAGAGAAGTCCCCTGCTTGTGTTCTCACACTGAATGGAAATGAGCTCTTAGCAGATTAATGCCACTGCCAATTAATAAGACAAGGCCTGAGACCTTAGGCGAGGAGGGGTAGGGAGGGAGGGTGCTAAATTTGAAATAGGATGGTCAGGGTCACCATGGATGAAAGGTAATATTTAAGTAAAGATCTGAAAGAAATAGAGACAAAGGAGGGAAAACGGGGAGAAACCTGTATGTGTGTGAAACTGCTTAGAGGGGAGACTTGCAAAACCTTTAACGGGATCCTCCCTGTCATGTTAGAGGACCAAGAAGGAAGTGAATATAAGTGGAGCGAAGGGGAGGAGAGGAAAAGCCCAGATGCAGGGGAGGAGGGTACATTGGGAAAGACATTGTAGATCATCATAGGACTTCGTCTTTTCTGGGTGAAATGTGAGGCCATTGGGAGTTTGGAGCAGAGGACTAGCATGATCTTGGTGACATTTTCATAGGAGGACATTACTGTGTTGAGAACAGATAGGTTGGGAGGTGCGGGTGGGAGCAGGAGGCCCAGTTAGGAGCTTTAGCCATGGTGGCTTGGACCAGAGAAGCAGTAGCAGTGAGGAAAGTGGTCAGATTCTAGAAACGTGAAGGATTTGCTGACAGAGTGGTTTATGAGAAATGGAGTCCATAATGAGTCCAAAGACTTGGTCCTAATTATCAGATGTTAGGACAGAGTTTCATTGACCAAGAAGGGAAACCTGTAAAAGCAGTTCTTTAGGGGACAATCAGGAGTTTGATTGTGAACTTGTAAAAATGTAAGTACCTGTAAGACACTGAGAAGAGATGATGAGGAGACCAGTGTGACAAGAATCTGAGCTCAGGACACATCTGGGGTTCACCAGCTTGTCGACTACTCAGAGTCCTAGTGGAGTGAAAAGAGGGCCCAATGTGAATTCTGGGTCTCTCCAACATGTAGAGGTCACAGAGATTAAGAGTTGTCAGTGAGAAAATTGAAAAAGAACAAATTCATGCGGTAGAAGGAAAATCAAGCATGTGGTGTGTTAAAAGAAGAGCAGAGAAGGCGCTTCAGGGAGCGGGGTAGCTGGAAGTGCCAGAGTGGTCGCCCTCACACACGGTGAGGACAGGGGAGCAGCTATTGGATTTAATGCTGGCGAGGTGACCTTGATGAGCTGTTTTTTGATTGGAGGGGATTCAAGGGAATGTGGGCCAAGTCAGTATTGAGCAAGTGTAGCTAAATCAAATTTCGAGTATTATTTTACCAAACATTAAGAGAGAGCTGTCTTAAAAATTAGGAAAGTGGCCCAGGGTGGACGTTCTCAGAGGCACACTGTGGGCCCCATGTGAAGGTGGGAGTTTGTAGAGTTCTGTCTTCCTCTTTTGCTACTTTCTAATTTTATCTGATAGAAGTACAAAAAATTCTAATATATACACTCTCAATTTTTACAAAACGAATATCTAATATCTAATTGATCACTTTTTTACTGGACCAGAGGCCAGTAATGACATAATGAGATGAAAAGTTTTCCAGGCAGGCAAGTGGGATGACCAAATGCATGGAAACACGGTGCATTCTCAGGGCCCTTTGTCACTGAGGAGTCAGGAATGAGGACAGATGGAGGTGAGGCTGGGAAAGGATGGGATTAGAGAAAATGTGGGGTTCTGTTTTAAGCAGTTTGGGCTTTATCTGTAAGCATTGTGGATCTTTAGAAGATACTTTGAAATCTCTAAGACTGTTACATTGACACCTGTACCGTCACCTGGCCCTAAACACACTTGTTACATCTACACTCTCACCCACTTTCCAAACCCAACTGTGCTATTTTGAAGAAAATCTCAACTATTACATTATTTATTGTTCAGTGTTCCTGTTATTCACTCATTCATTGTTCAGCATTGTCTCTCAAAGAATAAATGCCATGCTTTAAAAACATAAGTAATGACATATCTAAAATAGTAACAATTCTCCGCTCAAATTCCAAGTTAATTTCTAGTTAGAAATTTCCC